AGAGAATGGCAATCACACAAACCTATATTTAAATCTTTAAGCAACACCTGTACCTATATATCTTGTGCAGTTTGCCTAACTCTCTGTCTTTACATTCTCATCTACAAAACAGGGAATTAAATATTTATTTTATAGAGGCTACTGAAAATGGTGTACAATAACACATTTGCCTCAGAATAGTGTCTGATACTTCATTCTATAACTGATCACCTAGATTATTAAAACATGGGAAATTGTATAGAAGGGACAGGAATGCATCCTCTATATTACTATGTTCTTAACTGCTTCCTATGTTACTAATGTTAAAACTACAGGTGATAAAAAGTCACTGTACACAGTCAAAGATACTGTTTTGCCTATCTTCTCTAATCCATGAAAGACACCTCTCTTTCACAATCCCACAATATTCTCTCAGCTCCCCCCCTCTCTCCTTCCCTCCATTTTCTCTCTCTCTCTAGAAAAACAAATTCTCCTTCTATAGTTTAACTTTTTCATCTACAAGTTTGTTTTGTCAACTTTAAGCAAACAAGTGTCTCAGTAAGAAACATCACCAAGGAGCTAGATTTTTTTTTAAGGGGGCAGGGGAAATTCCTTTGTACAATTACTTAAAGATAATAAAGTAATTTAAAGATAGTAAGAATACATTTTCTAAAAAATCTTCCCCAAGCTGGGCACTGATGGTTCACTCCTGTAATTCTAGGTACTCAGGAAGCTGAGATCTGAGGATCGCTGTTGGGAGCCAGCCAGGGCAAGAAAATCCATGAGACTATTATCTCCATTAAACTACTCAAAAACAAAAACAAAAAAAGCCAGAAGTGAGGCTGTGGCTCAAGTGGTAGAGCACTAGCCTTAAACAAAAGAAGCTCAGGGGCAGCATCCAGGCCCAGAGTTTAAGTCCCAGAACAGGGGAAAAAAAAGTCTGTCCCAAGCTAATATAGTCCATGGCATGACAAGTACAATATTCATTCAGTCAACATGACATGCTAAATATTCAGAAAGCAGTCAAGGGGAATTAAAGAGATGTAATCATTTAGTACAAATAAAAAAATTTTAAGTACATTAGAGATCTGTGTAACTAGTAGGGTACGAAAATGAGTAGCTAATCTACCTGGTATACCCAAAAAATCATAAGGAAAGTGATATTTAAGTCCAGAAAAATAAAAAAAAAAAGTGTTCATTAAGTAGTCAAGGAATGTAAGGATGGAAAGGCAAGAAGAGTATTATATGAACTGACAGCAGCAAGAATAACAAAAATGTATAAGACACAAGTATAATGTGATTGAAAAATCCAAAATGGAGGAGAGCTCATGCCTTCCTAGAGTAAGAATGGAAATAAATCACAAGTGGAAAGTTCTTTATGTCACTAGAAACTTCAGTTACTTGAGAGATAATGTTCACTCAACAGGTTTTTTGAAACAGATAAAATAATCAGATTTGCATTTTACAAATATTAAGATGGCTATATATGTGATTTGGGAATCTAAGACTGGAGCAGTCCTCAATGGCAGGATACTAGCATTGACTCAGATGGTAGAAAACAAGAGCTGGAAAATGAAGGGAGGAAGTGGCACTGGGGCTCAAAGTAATAGAGTGTTTGCCTTGAGAGAAAAAGTTCAGGGACAACACCCACGCCCTGAGTTCAGTCCCATGATCAACAAAAAAAGAGAGAGAGAGAGAGAGAGAGAGTTCTTAAAAAGACAGCAGTTATTAGTTTACGTTAATGAAGAAGTGATCATTTACGTATTTTATTGTGGAGAGAGCCATAAGGAGACCTAAACTGATTACTGACTTTCTGAATTAAGTGGCATAATTTAGAACTATAGTACTCATTAAAAAGTTTACATTTTTAGGAGGAGTAACCTAGGGGCTATCCCAACAATTAAAAAAATACATATGAGGTCTGTTTATAATATGTAAGATTCAACTCTATTCTAATATATTTACTAAAGGAGAAGTAAAAGGACAAGACTTCTAAAGTAGAATACAATGTCCTATTATTATGGACCCAAAATAATGTCAATAAAAAGTTTTAAAATAAGTATTATTCATAAATACTTTTACTAAAAACTTTGTTACAATGGTCATTTTAAGTTTTTGTTAATATTTGAAGTTAAAGTACATTCATATAATGGAGTATTATTTGGCCCTAAGAATGAAATTAGGTTATTTTCAGAAAAATGGAAAGAGCTAGAGGACAACATGTTATGTGAGACAAGACAAGCTCAGAAAGACAATTATCACAGATCTTCACGCATATGCTGAACCAACACTTAGAAAAAAATTCTATGGCAAGACTATGAAAGGTGGATTGTTGGGGTGAACCAATAGGTAGGATGAGGGAAAAAGAAAAGGGTGACAAGAGGTGAATTTTATAGAAATACATTCTATTTGTATGGAAACAGCATAATGAAGGCCATCAACTATTATTTAAAAGGCAGGTGGTAGAGAGATTGGGTTTAGAATGAGTAATATACATGGGGTGAATATGATCAAAGTACATTATTCATGTTGTAAATATCAGATACATAGGAATCATGTACATGGTATTTACGGGCCCTTTGTATAATTAATATATGCTAATAATGACTTAAATGATTTTTCTTGGAAAGGAAGTGGGTAAGACTTACCAGGTATAACATCTTTTTTTTTTTTGGTCCGATCGTGGGGCCTGAACTCTGGGCCTGGGTGCTGTCCCTCAGCTCTTCAGACAAGGCTAACGCTCTACCACTTGAGCCACAGCACCACTTCCAACTTTTTTCATTTTGCTTATGTGGTGCTGAGGAATCAAACCCAGGGCCTCAGGCATGCAAGGCAAGTGCTCTACCACTGAGCCACCTTCTCAGCCCCAGGTATAACATTTTAAAACAAATGAATTCATGTCTAATACCTGAGCCATTTTATATCTCTTACTTGCAAACATCAGTTCTGACATACTGTAGCTTTAGTGCTAGCAAAATTCCTATCTATATAAACTTATATACTCACTACTATGATTAAAAAGCATAATTTTACCCAATTCATTCTATTAAGCCAACATGACCCTAATGCCAAAACCAAAGAAAAGAAAAACAAAGACACTATACGTCTCATGAACCTAGCAGCAAAAAATGTAAACAAAAATTTTATCACATCAAACTTATTCAAATATAAAATGAAGCTTTAGAATTCTAGGAATACAAAATTCAATGTACCTCAACATATTAGCAAAGCAAAAAAAAACTATAACATTGCTCCCAATGAGTAAGTTTTTGAGAAAAAATTAAAATTCTCAGACTGAATGCAACTCACATGGTAACATACTTGTCCAGCATACTACAGTCAATCTCCAGTACTAAAGTGAAGAAAACCCTCTCAATAAATCTGACCTAAATGGTGTTAATGAAGTTGACCATCAACATCATACTTGATTCTGAAAGACTGACTGCTTTCCTCTAGGATGAAAAAACAATACAAGGACTTTAGCTTTCATCACTTCCATTTACATATTCTAGAGTTTCTACCCAATGCATTGATTCAAAAATAGTAATAGGAAAAAGGAATCATAACCAAGCAAGCCAAAATGAAAAGAAATGAGATTTATTATGGGGAAAACAAACTACTGAAAAAAAGAGCAATCACATAGGGAACTAATTCCCACAATTATATCCAAATGTTGTATATAAAAATATCAGCTTCCTATTTTAAACTGTACAAGTAAATATTTTGATGATAAAATACTAGCAAGGAAATAAAGGCAAATTCTAAAGAACTTACTAAAATGAACATTTTTTAAATACTGTTTTTTCCTAATTCAGTGAAGTACTTTTTCTGTTGCATTGACATATTCACTAAAGTGTAGAGATAAACTAAAAATCTAAAAGTATGAACAGATCTTTACCATGTTGTCTTTAAATTCTATCATTGAATGTTACTTCATCAATGTTAAAAGAAACACAAAGGGGGATATAGCTTCAGAGTATAGAATTATGAAACAGAACCTCAAATTGGAATAGTCCTCTTTCAAAAAGGAAAGAAAATGGGCCAAGGAAAAACAAATCTACAAGGCTTCTAAAAGTATAGTAGTAAGCCAGGCACCAGTGGCTCACACCTGTAATCACATATACTCATGGGGCTGAGAGCTGATGACCATGGTTCAAAACCAGCAGGGGCAAGAAAGTCCATGAGATTCTTATACCCAATTAACCACCACAAATCTGGAGATAGAGCTTAGGCTCAAAGTGGTAGAGCACTAGGCTTGAGCACAAAGGCTCAAGGACAGTGCCCAGGCTCTAAGTTCAAGCCCAATGCCTAGCACAAATATATATTAGTAATGGAAAAAGCTATGTCAAACTCTGACAATAATCAGTTGTACGGCTTTAAGAATCTACTTTCCAGGAAATAGAAGGGAGGTTTTTTTTTTTTACTTTGTTGCTCTTTTCATCTTGATGTTAGTTTATATATCTTTGGGAAAGTAAGGGGAGGCACAGAAATGTAGGGACAAAGTGCCAACAAATACAGCAGTGGCACTCACTAGACACTATGTTGAAAATGAACTATATAACTTGTGGGTAGGGATGAGAGGAAAAAACTGAGAGAGACAAGAAAAGGGGTGACATTGTCCAAAAAGAAATATACTCTTTACCTGGTGTACATAACTGTAACCTCTCTGTGCATCATCTTTATAATAATATAAAAATTTTTTTAAAGAATCAACTTCACTTGCTCTAAATGAGTTTTTCTTATACAATAAAGGAGTGAGATTAGTTTATCTATAAGTCAATTTCATCATCTTTGAATGTTTAAGACCCTGTGATAAAAAACAAAAGCATGAGCTAACTGATATAAAATAGCAAAACAAATATATTTTAAAACCAATAAAGAATTTAAACAATTTTTATCTAAAATGAGGACAACAAAAGTTTTTGCTGTTTGGTTAATATGAATAAATTTCAGGTAAGCACTTTTATTTTATTGGCAATAAGCTTAACTGTAAGAGAATTGTCATGCTTTCACTTCTGTACCTTGTTTGAGCGTAATGACACACGACCTCCACAACGAGCACAGAACTTTGTTTGGCAATATGAACAGTTATGGCCACATCCATCTGCAAACTTTGTTTTGTGGCAGATACCACAAGTTGGTGCATCACCCTTCTGTTCTTGCTGTTGCTGTGATTCTTCTCCCATCTTTTTTACCTGTTCCTTATACATTTCAAACTGCTGATGCAATTTTCTGCAGAAAAAAACAGATGTTTAAATTGGTTTCCTAATCAAATAAATATCACTGCAATCTGTTAACATGATTTTATAACCAGAAAATATATGGAATGAGAATTAAAAATAAAATTTTTATTTTAATTACAGAATACAACTTGCATGGAGATATTTCTCTGAATAGAAATTCTAAAATTTCTTCCTATTATTTGTATCATATTAAATATATGATACAGGGCTAGGAAGGTGGCTCAGTGGTAGAGCGCTTGCCTTGCATACATGAGGCCCTGGGTTCAATTCCTCAGCACCAAATAAGCAAAAAGAAAAAAGCCGGAAGTGGCTCTATGACTCAAGTGGTAGAGCGCTAGCCTTGAGCTGAAGAGCTGAGGGACAGTGCCCAGGCCCAAAGTTCAGGCCCCACGACCGGACCCAAAAAATAAATAAATAAATAAATGTATGATACAATATTTAATATATTTAATATATGATCTAATATATGATCTAACATATTTAATATATGATCTAAAATATTTATAGTAATATGTTTAAACATCACAAAATATAACAAGCTAATGTGATTTACACAGTGAAACTAAAACCTATGAACATCAAATCAATGGGATGTAATCTCAACCGGAATGATCTAAAGAATTTAAACAGATCCTAAAGAGGTCAACAAACACAAAATGAGAGCTCTCACTAACTGTTTAAATGTGTATAGTAGTCTGGACATAGTTTGGCTATAACATTCTAAAATATTAATAGCCTAACAAATAGGGCTGTATAGAATAAAAAATAAAACTAGATTTTACTTTAAAATTAAAACAAAAAGTAAATGTCTCCAAGGAGAAATCAGACACACTGTTTTACATTTGGCAATAACAGAAAGAAACAATTGCCATTATGACAACTTAAGAAAAATCAGTTAAAATTTTAACAAATTTTTAAATGGGTTAACACAGTTTGGAATAGCTTAAGAACCCAAACTCAAACGAAATTCACATAAATAAGCATTTTCCCCTAGACCTCCATTGGATGTTTATAAAGAAGACTGATGTCAAGACATGAAACATAGAGCCCTTTTACTTAAGTGTATTGTGAAAGCATGCAAAAAGACTTGTAACTCCTGAGGGACAGGCACAATTCCCCAAACTTTCTCTGGTTAAAAATTAAAAAAAAATATGATAATAAGCTGGACACCGGTGGCTCATGCCTATAATCCTAGCTATTTGGGAGGCTGAGATTTGAGGATCAAGGTTCAAAGCCAGCTCCAGCAGGAGAGTCTAGAAGACTCTTATCTCCAATAAAACACTCAGAAAACCAGAAATGGCACTCTAGTTCAAGTGGTAGAGCACTAGCCTTAAGCTGAAGAGCCGAGGGACAGGGCCCAGGCCCAGAGTTCAAGTCCCACAACCAACAACAATAAATAAATAAAATGAAACTTTAAGCCATGAGAAAGTAAACTCTATCATCTCCAGCACAGAGGTAAAGAGCCACTGATGCTATGAAAAAGTTTTTTAAAAACCTTCTGCATAGGCAGGCTCCAGTGGCTCACGTATGTAATCCTAGCTACTCAGGAGACTGAGATCTGAGGATAGAGGTTCAAAAGCCACCCTGGGCACGAAAGTCTGTGAGACTAGTATCTCCAATAAATGACCAAAAAACCTGAAGTGTCACTGTGGCTCAAGTGGTAGAGCGCTCACCTTTAGCTAAAGAGCCTGAGGGACAGCGCCCAGGCCCAGAATTCAAGCCCTACAACCAACAAAAAAGAAAAAAAAAAAAAAAAACCTCTGCAGAAAACTCAAAGTGGTACTGTGGCTCAAAGTGGTGGAGCACTAGCCTTGAGCAAAAGAGCTCAGGAACAGAGCCCTGGCCCTGAGATCAAGCCCCACAACCAAACAAAACAGAACAAAACAAAAACAACCTTCTGCCCATGAAGCAGTAAGCCATCCAGAATGGTACACAAATACAAATCAGCGGTATATTAGTACTAGAAGAACCTTGTGCCCACAAACTAACTTAAAATGCAAGGCAAATTTGCTTCTATAGTAAGGGAAGACTCTGAACTCAGCCAGTCTCATCTCCAAGGCCAGGTAGCAAGGCTCTGTAAAAATACAGACGGTAGAAAAACCTGGGAACATCTTTCCCCAATCACCAGAAAAACATCACATAATCACCGTAATTACGGGGCAACATACCTTCTCTGTGGTACAGGTGTGTAGGAATGGCTAAAAGGGCATAAAAATACTTGATACTCCAGCATATATACTAAAGCACAAGGTAAAAACAGACCATTGCTTTGGAAAAGTTTTACAATCGGGGCTGGGAAGGTGGCTCAATAATAGAGTGCTTGCCTTGCATGCATAAGGCCCTGGGTATGATTCCTCAGCACCACATAAGCAGAAAAAAACCGGAAGTGGCACTGTGGCTCAAGTGGTAGAGCACTATCCTTGAGCTGAAAAGCTGGAGACAGTGCCCAGGCCCAGAGTTCAGGCCCCAGGACCAACCAAAAAAAGAAAAAAGAAAAGAAAAGATATAATGATCACCACAACAAAATCCAAACCTTTTTGAATTCTTGATTGATGATTCACTATCCAATACCAACAATCCCACATCCACAACAAGGAATAAATATAACACAAAACCATAAGACAAAGGAGAAAACCAAGAGCTAAACAATCCATCCTCAAAAGGTAGAAAATTCAACCCACTTAAATTTGAAATGATATGAATGTTAGGATAGATTATAACAGGAAGACTTTAAAATTGTTAAAATTACTAAGGATAGGTAGAAAAAGGTGAACATGAATGAATAAGAGAATTACAACAGAAAAATGAACTGTAAAAAGAAATAATCAAATGGAATTTTTGGTATCAAAAGACAAAGAGTTCCTTTAATGGGCTCATAAATAGATGAAAACATGCAATGAAAGAATCAATAAACTTGAAAATTTAGTTAATAAAAATTATCAAAACTGAAAACAGAAAGATGAATAAAAAGAGTTGGGAAACAACAACTGAAAATCCACGTGTTAACCTGGTACATGAAAACAGAATCCCAGAAAAACAGAAGATATTTTGAAGATATTTGAAGATATAATGACCAAGAATTTTCCTAAATTAATTATATCAAAAATAAAAAGGTGGAAGAAGAGGAGGAGGAAGAGAAGGCAGCCAGAGAAAACAGAAGAAAGGAATTTGTTTTAATTAAAGCTGAAATCAAGAAAAATCAACCAGGCTGAAATTTGCAGTTCTAGGTAAGCCCAGAAAAAATGATTCACAAGACCTCATCTCAACAGAAAAGGTTTGACATGGTGGCATGAACTCCTCATCTCAGCTACAATGGGGAATATAAACATCTTGGCCCACATATAAAGTCAAACCCTATGTCAAAATATGACCAAAGCACAAAAGAGCTCAAGTGGAAATGTTTTTCTTCCAAACATGAGGCTCCGAGTTAAAACCTCAGAACTGCCAAGAAGAAGAAAAAGAGGGGGGGAGGGGGGGTAGCAGAGGAGGAAGAAGAAGGAAGGGGGAAGGGAAGGGAAAGGAAAAGGAAGGAAGAGGATAAAGGGAGGGGAGGGAAGGGAAGGGAAAGGAAGAGAGGGGAGGGGAAAGGAGGGAAAGGGGAAAGGAGAAAGGGAAGGGGGAAGGGAAAGGAAAGGGAAAAGGAAAGGGAAAGGAAGGGAAGGGAAAGAGAGAAGGGAGGGAAAAGGGGGAGGAAGGAGAGGGGAGGGAGAGGAGAAAGGAGAGACAGACAGACAGACAGACAGACAGACAGACAGACAGACAGAGAGACAGACAGATAAACTGTTGCTGACTCTTTGAAAACAACCATATAGATGATATAAGCAAAATTAGAGGAATAAGACTTGCCACTGCTAGCCCCCCAACAAAAACTTGAATGTAAGTAACTATCTAAATGTGAAAATTCCTTCACAAAAACTAAAAAAATGTAGGTAAAAGATACAGCTTCTGAATGTAACAAAGAAATAAGAAAAGACATACTGAAAAAGGTCACCTCTCGACCATTTCAAAGAAGAATGGAAAGAAACAACTTCTGCTGTGGAAAGAAGAGGGAATTGAGTAGCAGACCCCAAAACCTAGTCCACCCCAGGAAAACACAGCTCTGACTCCATGACTCTGGCCTCCAGGCCAGTGCTTTCAGCCTGAGCATCCATGCCTGAAGAGGTATCAGATCCCAGAACTTTAGACTTCAAGACTGTTCAGCCATCTCTTTTTTTAAAATTTTATTTATATTTTATTATGAAAATACTGTACAGAGGGGTTACAATTACATGGGCAAGATAATGAGTACATTTCTAAATGCTTTTGACACAGAAGCTTCCGGTCCGTCTCAATAGTAGGCCAGCACCCAAGTCTAGGGCTTCAGCCAGCCAGAGTGGTCCCAGCCCTAGGCTGGTCCCCACATCCTGACTCCAAGCTAATATACATTGAGCTTCCAGGTCCATCCCAATTCCAGATTTGATTATGTAGTTTGACTCCATACCTGTCTAACATACTTGTTCTCTAAGCCCATCCCATCATCAGGCTGTTCCTAGTAGTCTCAGCTCCAGACTCTCCCCAAGACCAAACTAGTTTCCACCTTACATCCATAATCATCCAATTCTAGATCAGCCTCTATGAGAATAGTTTCCAGTACTGTCTAGCACCAGACTACTACTCCCTTTGACCCCAGATTCCAGGCTGCACTAAGTGTCAGAATCAATCTCAGTAGCCTCCCCTGGGCTTGTAAAATAAATTGAACTCAATGAAGAATTTAGTAGAGAACATCAATAGTGATATAACCAAGCAAAATATGGAATGTGAGAACTCAAAGACAAGTTTTTTGTTTTTTTGGTTTTGGAGGTTTTTTTGGTCGTTGGTCATGGGGCTTGAACTCTGGGCCTGAGAGTTGTCTCTGAGTTCTTCAGCTCAAGGCTAGCACTCTACCACTTGAGCCAAGGCACCACTTCCGGAAGACAAGTTATTTTAAAATACACAGACCAAAAACAATGA